CCCCCCCCCCCCCCCCCCCAATGAAATATTGTCATGCATAGTTCTCCTTGCAGATTTTAATAAAAAGGAAACATATTTGAGTGGAATGCAAACAAAGAGTTATAAGTCTAAGGATTAAAAAAGAAATCTCACCAAAATGTCAAAATATACAGCATTGTCTTGGTCAGAATTCCGCCCTTCTTCCATTACATTGTTTGTCGGAAGTTTAGAGGATGCAGCAGCACGCAGCAGAAAAGCAAGCATATTTTCTCCAAGATGTTGAAGAGATCCTGGTTTTAGAAGCTCAAACTTGTCATTCTGCAGAATGAATATACAGAGTAATCGAGTTAACATTGATATTGATATTATACAAACATTTCCATGCAGATCCATTTGCTCACTCTTTTTCCAGATCACTTCGATAATTCTTTTTCTTACTCGGCATGATGTACGGGCATTACCTTAATTGCTTAATCAAATTTATAATCTACACAGAGATTATCAAGTATCTACACTCTCCAACTTCAGTCATTAATTTTCCCTCATTTTTTTCATTTACATTAAAAAAAAATGGATTGTTGATGGCATAACTTATCAGCACAAATAGTATTAGAACTAAACTCTGACTACTGGGTAAATAAATCAAAAGCAAATGCCCCAATCATATTTGAGTGGCGCAGAAACAATTACCACGACAGAAAACATTTTAGCTGGAGATGTAAAGGTGCAAGCCATCATATGGTACTACACAAATACTTATGACACAAACGATAATAGTTGCATCTCTAAATTTCCAGCTTCTCTAAGTTGACCGTGAAAGGATGATCAAGTTTTGATAACTGTTGTTTCTCTAAATCAATTAAATGAAAAATTATCAAAACTTTATCAATATGCAAAATGCTACTTGCGGAGAGTTCCTCAAAAGATTAAGAATCCATTCGTCATTGAATATAAAACCTCGTGTGAAAAGCCAAAAATAAACTTTTAGATTAAGTCTCCAAAGAAAGAAGTTAATAATATAGAACCTTTGTGTGATAAACTGCAGTCTTATCAGTAAACGCAAAGTCAAGTCCTGACAGACCAGCAAATTCTGTGTAAACTTGGAAATCTGTTCCAGATTTAATGGCTCCAGAAGTAAAAAGATCCTACAAGATTGAAGTCACTCCTCATTTATAACTATAGCAATTTCCGAGTAAAAAAAATGATCAAGAGGGGGGAATTACAAACCTGAGACACTATTTGGGCAGACGGATATTTTGCAACTGATGCAAAAGTCTCGACAGCCCATGGATGAGAACCAGTCTATCGGATAAATAATTTTGAGTGAATTATAACAGGAAGCAAACAGTTATACATAAATTGTCACCTCGGTGACATGGTATTTATAACATAATGATTTACAGTCAAGACCTGAAATATTCCAGACTTCCCTCCAAGACCAATAGCTTCCAAATCAACAGCCAGGCGAATGGTGTTATTCCAGGGATGCTGCATTTTAAATTCTACATCAGTTCTACTACCTGGATCCCAATTTCTTACCGTTACTATGTGGTGCACCTCATTTTAGTTTACTACAGGAGCAATGATGAAAGTACATGAGTTCTCACATTTTTCTCATGTACATATATACAGATGGACAAAGAAATCAGCATACAATTATGGATTAACATTAATTCCTATTCAGTTTTCTTCAAACACCCTTAAAACAAAATAAAGAATTTCGATTTCCTTCTTATGCTATAATATTAGAGGAAACCTTATATCACAGATAATAATTGCAAAAGGAAGTACTAGAAACGCAATCCAAGTGAAGGTTAAGCTTGAAAACTGGAGAAGAAAATCATGCATGAAAGTAATTCCAACCTGACTCATAAAGCTATGAGCACCACTGAGACCCTCCTCCTCGCCAGTATTAAATAAAAATATCACACCACTTTTGAATCCATGAGCCCACTGAGAAATACCTCGGGCAAGCTCTAACATAACAGCAATACAAGAGCTACAATCCCCTGCTCCTTCCCTAAAACAAGCATAGCACATTATTTTCAAGGATTGCATGGACAGAATATAATAGTGATAAGAACTGATTGATGAGAACATACGTCGAGAAAACGGTGTCAATGTGAGAAGACACTAGAATTGTATTTTCTTCAGCTTCATCAGCATACTTCGGCAACACCCTTAATAGAACATGATATAGATCTGAATAGACAAGTGTTTTCCCCCTAAACAGACCACGGGATAAACGATTTGCTCCAGATTTTGCATGAAATTTTTCTACTTCAACATCAACTTCCCAGTGAGCTGTTTTCTTTATTTTTTCTGCTTCTTTCAACACATACTGAGAAAAATTGCATGATTTTAAGTATCTACGTATGCTGGAAGAAAAGGACATAGACTGATGCAACTGCTTTTAGCTCAATTTCATTGAAATGGCTTCTTCTTTATTTTTCTCCGTTTTGTGGGTGTGGGGGGTCAAATAGATGGTTTTACTTGAAGAGCACGATGTTAAAATAGGCATTGGCTAGAGAAGTCAACTCTAAAATTGAATTCTTTGGAAAAGGGAACAACAAAAGCATTGGCCTTAAAAAGTGATCAATCTGCAACTTTAAAAATGTGTTACGTACAGTCAAACCCGATAACTCTATTAGTTGAGACATTATACCCTCAACCAAAAAGTCAAAGGTTCAAATTCTCACTCTCTTTGGTTGAATTCAAAATAATTGCTACACATAATTGAAATCGAGAATTTGAACTACTAGCAAGAAATAATGCTCTATACTCATATTAACTAAAGAGATGCTAATTCAAAAATCATGTGGCATGTATTCCCTATGTATTAAAATCCAAGTTAGACTAGCTATCAGTTCTAAAACTCCATGCTTGCTTAGTTCTACAAAGCCGAACTTGAACTATACATTTTTTTTCTCTTTTCTTTACTTCAATCTCATTGGATAAAAGGCTAACCTACTAATTATTAGACAATCAATATAAATTGGGTATACTTGCAAAATACAATTCATGTATTTGACGTGCTAACAAATTAGACACTGTTATCTATCCTTTTAGACAGAGTACATTTGTGATCACATCAAACATGGGTATGTATCATACGAAAGAGTAAGTTGAACAACAAGGCAAAACGGAGGTTGGACAAACTAAAATCAACCCAGAAAAAGGATTAACCTCCAGTGCAATATCGAGTGCATCGGAACCAACAGGATGAGGACCCAGTGAAGTTAACGCCTTGACATGCTTCAAAGCCTCAGTCTCCGAGAAACCTCTTTTGCCAGCCTGCTCAGCACTAAGTGGGATAGGCAATTTTTCAAACTGTTGTTGATAAATGGTCCGGAAGCTATAGATGGTCAACAGAAGCAAGGACGTCCATACATATGGTGACCTCTTTGTCCTTCTTACCACTGATATGGTTTGAGGAACACTGTCATCAACTTTAGGAACATTTTCTTCTGGCTTGTTCAATGGTTTACGCGATGCAGACGAACTTCCAGTCCGTCCCATTATTAGTTGACAAATAAGAGTCTAAACAACTGGACATAAACAAAGAGAAGGGAAGTCAGTACAATACCTCCACAATTTGACTTGTTAAGAATAATCCTAATTAACTCTATCCCGAATACAGTAAGCACAAAACCTTTCTAAAAAACTGCTTCCGTCGTTCTTCAGCTTCGAGTTACATCTCAACAAAACATAGTCAAACCCAAATTTCCAATCTAATCTATGATTTTCTTCAGCAAACAAGTAGGCACGACCAAAATATATGCAATCAAACTCGCATCAAGTAATCCAGATCAAGACGATTCAATAAATTGCAAGATTCAGTGTGAAACAAAACAAAAAAAAAACTTTACGGGAACAAATTCTCAGCTCAACCGATTCCGTATGGCAACAAAATGTTCTAAAGCAAAACAAAAGATCCGAGTCTTGAGCTAAAAATAACAACTGGATAATAAACGAAGCTCATACAGCAACCTACAACGGCAACAGGCTCATCAAGTAGAAAGTAATTGACAAAATGATTGAAGAAGATGATGTAGGAAGAAAAAGAATACCATATTCGAATTGGAAATTGATAATTTCGAGAAGAAAACGGGATGAACTGATCGCTTATTACCTCGGGTGGAGACCGATGATACGCACGGTGCAGATCGTTCGCAGAGAGTCCACTGTCACTATGGCTCACATCACATCGCTCTGGGATGGCGAGTCGTATGGGACAGGTAAATTTTTCCACATTACTGTAAATTACCCTGAATTTAATTATGTACTTTCTGTTTGTTTCTTTTTAAAAAAAAATTAATTATTTATTTAGTACTTCTTGTTTTAGGATATGCATTTTTTCAAACAAAATTTATTGATATATATATATATATATATATATATATATATTGAATTAATTCATTAATTAAACATAGCTATAGGGTTTTTTTTTATAATTAAAATAATAGTTCAATAAATTATAATATATATTTTTGACATCCACGACATTAGATATTAGGAATTTTAAAAAATACAATTAAAAAATAAATAAAGAATTGAATGCTACCTTAATTAATATTTATCTTGTTTCAATAATTGTATTTTTTAAATATCAATTTAGATTTTGTTCACTTTAATCCTTATATTTTAAAACATGTGGGTTTTTTTTTTTTTTTTTTTTTGCAA